GGGATACCCATTCTTCTGGCCATCTCCTGGATATCCTGGCCTTGTGCGAAGCCTAATCTGATAGGACCCAAGTTAAACATCCTAACACCACCATTATTCTGGTTGTTCCCTTGGTTGCCCGGCAGCAGACCATTAGGAGCTTGGTTGGCGGGCGCTTGACCGTTAATCGGTTGAGGTTGTTGGTTCTGTGCGGCGGGAAGGTTGAGCCCGTTAAAGCCCCCTCCCGGCGCATTTTGATTCGGCTGCTGGCCTTCCCTAGAGACGGGGCGTCGGCAGGTCGGACACACTTGCTGGCGTTCCAGCCAGCTCTTGAGACATCCTTGGTGTAGAATATGGCCACAGGGCAGCTTCTTGGCACGGGTACGCTCGAGACGGATCGGGTCCTGGGGGTTCCAAGGGCGCATTTCTTCTCTGCAAATAATGCAGGTGTCGTCTTGTCCGAGATCTTGCTCGGTAGCGTCGGCATACTGATCCATGTCCCGAAGAGCCTGGCGGTAGCGCAGTAGGGCGTTTAGTCGCTTGATGAAGGATCTGGTCGTCATGAACCAGTCCCTGATAATGTGGATGGGCAATCCGTAGAACGTCATAAGAACACAGAAGAATGCCGTGTAGATGCAGAGCTTGAGGAAGTCTGTCGCCATGGTTAGTGCAACTGCGCATACCCATCAAATAACATCCGGACTTACCAGAAACCAAATCCAACGACAAGATATACAGCCCCTTGGCATCCCAGCCAGGAACCTCAATGTCCATCTCTTCCACATCGCCCTCGCTGGGCAGCTCCTCATTCTCCGCCTCTGCATCGCCCTGTTCTCTACGCCTCAGAATCTCCGCCCTGCGCTCTCTAATCTGGCGCTTCCTCTGCTCCAACCCGTTCCTCGTCTGCACCCTCGTAATATGCTGCTCCCACATGGAGAACAGATACCTGATGCCCGTCTGGCTGGAAGTCACCGTCTGTACCGCGAACTCGAAGAGGAACATAACCATCATAGTAGGACGTGCCTGCTGGACCACCGTATTGACGCAGTACTTGAGCATCCAGACGTTGTACGCCACGCTCAGGAGCAGCGAGACGGATAGGCGGGTATGGAACAGGCGTGGGTTGGCGGGCGGTTGCTGCTCAAAGATCTCGACGCGGCCTTCGCCGATCCAGCCCCATACCTTGCCCGTGACCAGCGCCGTGAACATGAACAGGAAGAAGGGACCGACTTCTTCGCGGAAGATGGTCATGGCCAAGCACGTCTCGGTGACGGCGAACCAAGCGCGTTCGTACAGTTGCTCGATCTCGACGGGGCGGAGGGGGCCGAAGCAGAGGCGCTGGAGGCCGTACATCAAGGCACCATAGAGGACGAGGATTAGGTTCGCGAGGACCTGTTGTGGTTGGAAACCATGGCTGGGTTAGCTACTGGGTATACATATACCACAACGGCAGCAAAGGTATGTTGAGGGAGTGTATGGACGTACCACGAGAGAGAGGCTGTTCTGGCCCAGATGGACGACGGCAGAGTAGAAGTTGGCTCGTTGATGGAACGCCGAAACGACGACCGAGGCCGCCAGGGCCGTCGAGCACTATGCATAGCAGTTATGGTTAGTTTGAGTCGAGTATATTTCCATATGGTCTGGGACTTGGGAATTTGGAACTGGAGCTGGAGGGAGTTTGGAGATAGATGGTTGGGGACTGGAGCTGGAGCTGAGCTTTTCTCTCTCTATCAACTGGGGAGCTTCCAACTTACCCCTGCGTACCACGCCAACCGCATCTTGGCCTGTATCTTTTGGGTGCAGTGTGCAGCAGTAATGGGCGAAAGCCGTAGCTGACAAGAAAACAAAACAGAGGTTGAACTATTTCGGTTTTAGCAATGGGAGGGATCGCACTAGTAAGTTGCCATCATGGGTGGAATGGACTGGAATGGGAATTCGTGATGGAGTGAAACGGGCAAGCGAGGTCGTCGATACCTCGAGCTGATGATGTGAGATTGACAGTGGACGTAAGCAGCTACGACGCAGACCAATGCAGGCAGTAGAAGGCACTTCTGGGGGTTCAAAAGGTGCTGTAAAGGAGAACTGTCAACTGAGGAATGGACATTGCCCGCGCCAGTAAATGCCACGTTATGGGAAACCGAACCCTGGTAAGGTAGCTTCAAGGTGACGCACCGTGACAGGGAAGGTGGCCCGAAGATCAAACCGCACAGCCACAGCCCAGACGATCCTTTCTTTGTCGCCGACACAGTTGTTCTAGAACCCTGCCTCGCCCTGCGTTGTGGCGGCTGTAACAAGAAATTGGTACATATAAGTACAACAAACAGGCTACCTTAACAACAGCAACCACTAGTCACTTTGGCGGAGTGGTTAACGCGCTGCCCTGCTATTCGTAAGAAAGCAAGTTTAGGCAGTTCCCTCGGGAGCACAGGTTCGAATCCTGTAGGTGACGCACTTCTTTTTTCTTTTTTCTTTGCTTGTTATCACAGGTTTCTTGTCGTTGTGTGCAGCAGGTGTTCGACTTTTATCCTTTTTCGCTTCACGGTGTCCTGTGCCGGATTGGATGGAGGTCGTGTGTGATGATGCGCTTGATTGAGTCAGTTGGGATTCGTGTTTGATGTCCATTCACATTGCTTGTACACCAGAAATGGCTGACGCGGCTGCTGCACTTTTGTCTTTTTTGGAACTGTGATCAATAATCGTTCTCTTCTTCTTCTCCGTCGTCATTTTTTGTTTTCGGTCTTCGGTCTTTCTTCTTTTGCATATTTGAGCCAGATGAAAGCACTTCTCTTCGATTGGTGCATGGTTGTGAACACCTTGAACTAAGTACCAAAAAACAAGTCTCAAAAAGAATCGATGCCAGTAACCACGACGCAACATTGCGATCAAGGTACAATTCGTATACCGTCTTGTCTTCGCTGCCCAAGCCACCTTCGGTATTCTTTCAAGGACCTCATGATGTCGGTCATCATCCACATTCCACCCAGCTATCCAGATGCGTCCTCCCTTTTACACCTGTGGCGATGTACCTTCAACTCTCCGGTGTGACATATCAAACGATAAGCTGACCGACAATTACGAGGACGTTGGCTCTTCTTTAAACCATTCAACTGTCGTATCCGATCAACTTTCCCATATTGTCCAACATCCGGCGACCGGCGACCGGCATGTCCGAAGTCGGCATCAACATCGACATCCGACTCGGCATCCTTCCGCCGGTCTCCCGTCAAAGGGCTATCAATGCTGTGCCCAGGTACCTTACCGAAACATAGGATGCGATTCAGTGGTTATGATCTCCATGGAGACCACAGTTGCAGTTGCAGGGCAGTTGTAGGGCAGTGCCGTCATGCCGCCCGTTCGTGTCGTCTCGTGCTGTACCGCTTTCTGGATTACGGGACTAGTACCGGACAGCCAGCTGAACCACGTATGTGCGTGATCGTAGTAGTGATGAAGGACCAGCTGAACTTCAAACGGCCCAAACGGCAAGACAACTTTTACTGTGTTCGCAGCGTGGGGATTTTTTTTGGTTTGGAGTTTGGGAATGTTTCAAAATCATTCGACGTCACGATGGGTGAACATAAGATACCTTATCATACCTACCGGATCTGGACTGGAACCGGTACATTGCACTGCATCGATCAACATCACGATCACTACAGAACTTGTGGGTGGGAATATCGCGCGGGGAATAAGGTATGTTGCATCCGGCTCAAGCCGGTTTCTTTTTGATAAACGCGATAAACGCGAGCTGAACAAATCAAACAAATCATTGACTGTTCCGATGTTGATATAAGTTGGTGATGGTTTCAGAAGGAGGTGATTAGGAGTGTATATTGGGGGCTGATAACTTGCATTGGTATGCTGTGATGGTGAGCTGAAGTTTCCAACGATTATGCTTCCGCGCGCTAAAACTAACGGCAAGCATGATCTCATGACGTGCGGAGGTTCCAAAAAAAAAAAAGTTTAGTTATGAGGGGAGAAGAGGGATTATTATGACATAGTGGAAACGGACGAGGGGACAAAGATGTGGGATTAAAAAAGTCTATAGGTGAAGAAACGGGGAAAAAGAAAGTGAAGAGAGGATATCCGATTGACACCACCACATGCTAGCAACCTTTGTGCGCGCAACAAATTTTGAAAAGTGAATAGAGCAATACTTAACTGCCCTAGGGAATGTGCTATCGCGTTTGCGAAAAGGGAAAGAATGAAAACAAAGCCAGAAAGAAAAGGGGTATCCCATCATATGCGTATGCCAAAACACCATATTGTCCAACATCAAGTAATCCACCCCCAACTCCTTCTCAAAATGCTCAACTGAACGCCCATGGCACATTATCTCGTAAGCTTGTAAGCTTGAAGGTACGGGTAAGGTACCTACATCACACCTCCCCAGACCTGCTCCAACCACTCCCTAAACCTCATCGGCTGGAATGCCGTTCTCTCGCCCTGATTAACCAGTTCGTTCAGGTTCGTCGAGCGAATGTTATACCGTCCATTAGCAGTCTGCAACAGCCTCTGGTAGTAGAGATATGTCGCCACGTCGCCAGCACGCTGGTACTCGTTTGCCCAGGCCTCAGCTTCTTCGTAGGTTCCTCGAGTGATGCTGAATTGGGCTTCTCGTTCGTGAACTTGTTAGCAACCACATTCCACAACCTCTCAGAATCGAAAACAAGAGAATGGAGAAGAAGAAAAAGAGAGACTCACCTCCTCGAACCAATTCACAAGCGCCCACCACCTCCCCCACCACCTCCCCCACCGCCATGTAATCCCCTCTAACCCTCCACTCCCTAGGCCACCTCTCCAACGGCGGCACACCCATTGCACTAGTTCCGGTCCCCGTCAACTCCACCGCCGCTGCCACGAACCTCGCAACATCATACATGCTCGTCATAGCCACGTATGCCGTCCTCCCTTGGGGATCCCGTTCCACCACCTCCGCCGTGCCCTGCTCAACATTTACCAGGTAATCACTCATCGGTTGCATCGGGCCCATCAACCCCAGTTGCGTCCCGATTCCCCAAGGCTGCAGTCCACCGCGAGAAAACCGCTCCATGAACACACCGCAGGAGAAGACAGTGTAGTTCATCCTGTGTGAGCGGGATTGGGACCAAGACTCCAAAAGGTCCAAAGCAGCGCGTGAGCCGCGGTTGTCGAGCGGGTCCGTAGAGTTGGCCGGTGGCCGGTGGGATAGAGGGCCCTCGAACTCGGAGGGGACGAAGCAGCGGACACGGGCGCGGCGGGCAGCGTCGATGAGGTTGAGCTGCTCGTTGTTGGAGATGGTGGAAATGAGGAGGTCGACGCCGCGGAGGACATAGTGCAGTTCTTCGACGTTTTGGTAGTCTACTTGGACGAGTTGGCAGGAGGGAAGGTTTTCTTCGAATTCGGGGTGGGGCTGTTTTAAGTGTGTTAGTAGAGCTAAAGGAGGAGTAGGAAGAGGAAACCATACCTGACGAGTGAGAACAAGAACGGGATGAGCGCTCTTGGCAATCTCCTGGGCGAGGATGTACGCAAAGGAGCCACCTCCTGCGATAGCGATTCTCATCATGGCAGCAGGTTGTTGCGAGGAGGCTTTCTGGCGCATTGTAGAGTGAGGCATTCAGTGAGAGAGAGTTGGGGTTGATTATCCGGCTTGTTGGTGCTGCTGATGCCTTCTGAGATGATGTTGGAGATGAAGTGGCCATGGTCTTGAACTTATATAGGAGCCCGAAGGCGTTGTCACTTCGGGATGCATCATCGTCTCAGACAGAACCTTAAACTCTAACTACGGCAACCCAGAGGCACGGTAAACTCGGAGGGGGTCAGGAGGAGAGCTAGCCAAGCCAGAATAACGAAGGGGAGATTTCTCAAGCCAACGGCACAGGACTAGTGAGAGTCGACAGGTGAAGATCGAAGTAGTCGGGAGCGGAAGCCGATGACATCCCACACCCGATTTCCCTCACTCCCCTCCACCAGAACGTCTTTCCTTACGAGGCGGTTCGGTTCCGGCTGGCGGCGTGACTGAACATTTCAAGGATGATATGACATCCAAAGCATGTTGGTCTATCCGAACCCCAAGTGTGAGGACCAACGGTGCCCATACCGAAGATCCCCATGTCATCAATACGGAAGGACTGCCGCTTGGCCCTTTTCTGCACGGGATAGTTGGCCCGCCGTAATGGGCCACCGCGGAACCCCCACAATTCGGCAGTCTGAATAACTTGCGGGCTCTTCCGAGAGGCTTCTTCTTGCTTAGCCATACCCTGACCTCACAACTCACAACTCATGGGTCGGAAAGTCAGGGCAGAATGAGGTCAAGAATAGACGCCATATGTGAGCACTAGCGGGGCATGGTGATGGATTCTTGTTCATAACCATGAAGTTCTTGCAGCTTTGTGAGAATATGAAGGATCAGAGTTGAGACGCATGGTGATGGCGTCTTCGGTGAGAATCTGATTCGAGGTCTGGGGTTACCCGGACCGTAGATCGCATCATCTCCCGTAGGGCTGTCCCGAGGCCAAGCAACAACCACAAATGGAGATTTGAAGTTCGAAGATTGAAAGAGTTTAGGAAGTTCCTAAGAAAAGACTTGAAAATGTGGTGAGTGGACTGGGATGGCCAATTGCGTAGGTTATAAGAGATGCTGAAGATGAACAAGGACCACCACAAATTGTTACTGTCAAAGCAGAAGGGTTGGAAGTCGTGGAGTTGAGGTGTTGTATCTGGAAATTGGCAAAGCCACCCGAGGACCAACAAGCCACACTTTGATGATCAAACACTGGGGTTTGACGGTTGCGAGATGGTGCAACAAGGTGGGACAATAGGGCTGGTAAGGATGGTTATAGGGTGTTGTTGGCGATAGACGCCGTTGAGAGAGGATGATGGAGGGTGAAGTCTTGTCAACATTGGGTCGGAAAGGCGCGCTCCCGAGCGATGTCTTACTCGAGGCTTAGCGAAAGACTAAGTGAGTGCAGGATTCTTCGAGCCTTGGAAATAGACGAGAGCTGAAAGAAAAAAGTGTAGTTGAAGGAAGGAGGTTCGCGTTGTCCACTGTTACACACCAGGCTTCAGAAATAAACATCCGAAGCCTATGCTGTTCACTTGTTCTGAGCTTTGTGAAACCAAGTTGTTAATGGGAGTCTCTAAGCTGTTACACCTTGCGAGAAGCATCTGTCCCTTTTGGGATGCAGGACAGTTTGGGACGAACTGCTGCGTGATGACTTGCATATCCCGTTTTCCCATCATCCCTTGGACTCGGTAAAAGGAAACTGTAGGACTGTAATGTAACGGTGATGGGAACATGGGTTTTGACGACACCATAGCTCGAAAAGCGAGACCGAATGACCCGATCTCGAAACGCCTCAAGGAGGAGTTGGTGATGAAGGGATATCAACAGTAACCACAATTGGAAGGACAAGAAAAGAACATCAGCCCAGGTTTGGGTCCTGGTCAACCAGACTTTCTGTTGATGAGTTGGGCGGATTGGGGGCCATGCTTCATCTCCATGTTGGAGGCAGAGCGAAAGGAGGCTTGGCCGTTGGATCGTCCTCAAGCCAGAAAGATAGAAGTGACGAGAACGGGCGCGGAGTTCAGCTGAGGTTGATGATTCATGCCGACCAAGCGAGCATTTCGTATCTCCCGTCGCTTTCCATTGTTGTAAAGAGGAGATGAGGGAAGTCTTGAGATTGAAGCGGCCCCAATTGACGCGGCAGGCAGGGAGACTGTATGAACCGCCCCACCTGCCTGCCGGGAGGCTTGCTTTGCAGTGCCGTCCAGCTATTGGGTTCATCTTGTCGGCTTATCAGTTCGTCTTCCACTGCATCTTCTGCTCCGCAACTTTCAATTTCAATCTCCAAGTCCAAAGCGGACAACGACTCCGAGATTTCGGTAGGTCCTTGGCCATTGAACGCTGGAAATACAGACACCATTTCCACGCGACAATCATCTGCCAAGCTCGGGGCACGAGATCTCCATACTTCATCATGGCTCCCCCCGACCGACATACGCCAAGCGAGCAACACACGAGCAACACGAATCCGCCAGTTTACAATTGATGTTCCCTCCTCATTCTGTCTCTAACTTCTGTACACACGCAGCCTGCCCAAAACCAAGTGAATCAACCACCAACAAACGTTACTTGCATATAACGAAATGTTCAGGTAGTAAGTCCAGAGGCTGTTCAAAAGTCTCGGATCTGCAGTAAGCTTCAACATCGGTCCGTTTCGTGCAATACGGACACGGACATGGCAGTCGACGCATGTCAGAACTGTAAATTAAGGCCTGTTCGTATCGTCTCGGTGTAAGTCAGTCGTCAAGAGAAACAAATCATCAGGCTTCCACAGAACGAGAGCACACAACGTTGTTTTTGGCACCCATTTGTAACGTTGAACATTTCGAAATCTTCACTCAAGTCTTTTGTGAAATCAGATGCTGTTCAGATAATCTTGTATTAACTGAAACTGAAACTGAAACTAAAAGAACCATTCCATCATTAAGTCGTTATAGGTGTATGTGAAAAAGGGGGTATCATCAATCCTTCTCTCCCATGCCCATCCTCCTTCCTGGCCTTGTGTTGTCAGCATTTAGAGATCAGAAGTCCTCTTCTGCGCCTCAGCCTCCTTGCTAATATCATGCTCTGCGCCCCTCTGCTGGGCCTTGCCAACATCATGCTGAGCCTGATACTCAGCTTCCTTCTCGCGATCGCCAACAAGGGCAGCCGCAGCGTTGCCGAGCTGACCGGTAAACCGATCCTTGGCGCCCTCGCCGAGGTCCTTAACCTGGCCGCGAGCTTCCTGCTCCTGGCCTTCGCGGTTCTGTTGACGGCCGGCCTGCTTGAGCTCCTCGGAGCCGATGGTGCCACCGACGAACTCCTTGGCTGCTCCGGCGGTCTGCTTCCACGAGCCGGAGGCGCGGTCGGGGTGGTCGGCGGCGACGGCGCCGTCGGTGGTGGCGGTGAAGCCGGGCAGCTTGGCGGTGTCGTGCGAGGCGGCGTGCTCGGCGTGGGCCTTCTCCTTCTTGAGTTCACCTTCGGCCTGTGTTGTTTGATGTGTTAGTTATGGGGGAATGAGGTAGAGTTTGAGCTAAGAGGATTGCCAAAACGTACCTGATCACCGCGGTTGCCCATGATGTTACCAACGGCGTTCTGGACAGCGCCAGTGGCGGAGTCGATGTAGGACTTGAGGGTGGAGTTGTTCTCGGTAGACATGTTGGATGGTTGTTGTTTGGGGTACGTTGAAATTACTTTAGGTTAAGTAGGTAAAAAGTGGTGATGGTTTTGGTTTGGAGTTGTTGTTGTTGTTGTTGTTGTTGTTGTTGTTGTTGATTTGATTGATTGTATCGTGAGAATGATGAACTGAGATGTAAGTCCAAGAAGGAAGGATCTCTTTGATTTATATATCCCAAATCATGGCTGTCCCAGGTTCCACCGTGAAGTCGTGAAAGACAAACAAGAACCAGATCGGATGACCAGAATAGAACTTCCCGTCCTGAAAACCAGGGTCCTGCCCGAAATCTTGGCCTGGGGTTGAAGGGCAATGACGGACTGTAGAGGAGCCCTGGGAAGCCTGAGATGGCCATGTGAACCTTGTGTTCACCCATCCCTTCCGAATGTCCAACCCATTTCTTGCTCTAATTGGCCAGCTGTGCTCTTTCTTGTTTGTTTCAGCCCGTAGCTTCCAGCACCAGCTCGTTGCATGTAGCAGGAATGGTGTGCTGTTTGTTGCCTGTGAAGATGCCGTTAGTCTCACAAAGCACACCAAAAGGTATGATGTCATAGGTTAGAGCCGACCGACAGGGGTCCGTTCATCCCACCATCCGAACGTCCCCAATGAGACTCTGACATCATAGGTTATCGCAGCCACCATCGAACCGAGCTAAGCCCCTCAACACCACGTTTTTGCAAATGGAAGGTTTTGATCCTTTGTGAACCGTACCTACCTAGGTGGTTCTCAAAGAAACGTGATCGCGGCAACTGAACAGGGTCATATTGCACGCATCGTCCGCGGAAAGTGTCGGGTATAGCATTGCAAACCAACACGCAAGAGACGCAGTCGACACCACACAGCCAAATTCAGTGGAAACCACGACGTTCATCAGATGCAATGTTGGGAATTATGTATATCCATTATATGGTGAATTGTTCTCTTGACTAACACTTCAAAGCGCCGTCTTCCAGCCCTATGGTATCATTCTCTTGCTCATCAAAAAACAAAAGTCATCCGCAAATATCGCTTACATACATGATAGTATACAATGGGTCATGTTTTGCCCCTTGCTTCCGTCCTTGCGGGAGCCTCACCAATTCTCTAAGGTTGGCTGTATAAATAACCCGTGCCGCCTGTAGTCTTGAAAAGGCAGCGCAACGGGAGAAAGGAAAAAGTAATGATAACTCCGCCCATTTTATAAAACGTGATAAAAATACCGCTCATCAACCACACCGTGTCACCTCTTAGTGCTGGCTCCACTGAATCGTGTTCAGGTCGATACCCTCCTGGACGAGCTCCCACAGAGGGGAAAGCTCACGGAGGAAGCCCACACGCTCCGTCACGGCCTTGAGCACGTAGTCGATCTCCTGCTCGGTAGTGAACCGGCCGATACCGAAACGGATACTGGAGTGGGCGCTCTCATCACTGTTGCCCAAAGCACGGAGAACGTAACTGGGCTCTAGAGAAGCCGAAGTGCAAGCACTGCCGGAAGAAAGAGCAATATCCTTCAGGGCCATTAGGAGGGACTCACCCTCGACGTAGGCGAAAGAAACGTTCACGCAGCCGGGGTAGAAGTGGTTGGGGTCACCGTTCTGGCTGGTGTGCTCCATGGAGAGCAGACCGTGGAGAAGACGGTCGGAGAGGTACTTGATACGCTTGGAGTCGTACTTTTGCAACAGTTAGCGCCCATTCTTGAACCAAACGATGCATAAAATGTAGGATGTGAGGGGGTTTCGATCAGAGAAGTTGCTATTTATCAACAGGGAGTCCTTGTCACGGGACTTCAGAAAGCCATGCATGTGTAAAGCGACTCATCAGGAAAGTGGGGTGGTAAAAAAGGAAGGACTGTAACATACCGGCATCTCTTCCTTGGCGATGCGGCACGCCTCTCCGAAGCCGACAACGAGCGGAGGAGCCAGCGTGCCGCTGCGAAGACCTCTCTCCTGACCACCACCGCTGATGATGGGGTCGAGTCTGACTCTTGGCCGACGACGGACGTAGCATGCACCGATGCCCTTGGGGCCATAGATCTTGTGAGAGGAGATGGACATCAAGTCAATGTTCATGGCGTTAACGTCAAGGGGGATCTTGCCAACAGCCTGGGCGGCGTCGGTGTGGAAGAAGATCTTCTTGGACCGGCAGAGCTTGCCGATTTCCTCGAGGGGTTGGATGACACCAATCTCGTTGTTCACAGCCATGATACTGACGATGGCGGTGTCGGGGCGGATGGCAGCCTCCAGCTCCGCCATGTCGATCAGGCCGGTGCTCTTCACTGGGAGATAGGTCACTTCGAAACCCTCGTCCTGAAGATGCCTGCAGCTGTCGAGGACACACTTGTGCTCTGTCTGGCTGGTGATTATGTGCTTCTTCTTGCCGGACCGGCCAAAGAACCGGGCCACACCCTTGATGCTCATATTGTTGGATTCGGTGGCACCGCTGGTGAAGATGATTTCCTTGGGGTCAGCGCCAATCAGATCAGCAATATGTTTCCTGGCCTCCTCAACGGCCTTGTCTGTCTCCCAGCCGTAGGCATGTGTCCTCGAGTGGGGGTTGCCATAGACGTTGGTGAAGAAGGGCATCATGGCATCGAGCACTCTGGGGTCGACGGGGGTTGTGGCCTGCATGTCCAGGTAGATGGGGCGCTGTCCCTCGTCCATCACGGTAGCATTGCTGAGGACATCTTGTATGTGTCAGCAAAGAGGTTGACTGCGCGATATGTCCTCGAGATGGTGATGATGATGCTTACCAGCCATGGGGCTGACGTGTTGGCTCGAGCCATCCTGCGCGCTGATGGCGAGGCCCTGCTTCTCCATCTCCCTGTGATCCAGCTTGATAGCATGCTCGGCCTGCACGTCGGCGTTGTTCCTCTTGGTCTCGGTCACATAGCTCCTGGAGGCAGAAGCAGTCTTGACAGCAGCCGCAGTGGTCGCCCGCGACAGCACACGCGCGCTGCGAAGAGGGGCGGCCGTGGCCAAGCGCGATGCCTGTCGCAAGACGGACGGCGCAATGTTGGACATGGCGAGAAAAAGAAGAGAAGAAGGGGAGATGATGGTGAAGTTGGAGACGGATGAGGGGGAAAAGGTTCGTTTTGTGACAAAACCACAAAAAGATGGAGGCGGCGGGCGGGGCGGCTCAGAAATTCAGAGCTTCCACCTGTTCGGCAGTCGGACGGAATTTCCGCCATACAGGAAAGAACAAATCGAAACAAACAGCATCCGCACGCGGACTTGGCCTCGGAGGGGTCGGTGATAAGGGATGTGCCAATGAGGGGCGATGACTGACAGGACTTGGCATTTTTGATTGGTCATCTCGCTATCAGATGTCCCACCTGTTCCTATCTCGGACAAGCGCGTACGGCGAAAATGACGCTTGCTCCAAAATGTTGGAGAACGGGCATGACGGAGTTGCTCGGAGGTGCAGTTGGATGACATTTGACAAATGCTCTATGGAATTTTGTGAACGGACGCATCGATTGCACAAAAAAGGAGCACTGACCAACAATTGTGCTCTCAAATCGGCATGTCCAACAACTTAATGCTGCTGGCGGGATGAGTGGAATGAAAGCTTACAGTGGGTCCCACCAGTCTACCCTGACGGCGGTCAGTCGCTAGAAGCAGAGCTAACTTCCCGACATCGTTCCAATTCGTTCCATTCTGGGGTTCTCAATCGACCAAAAGCAGAACAACCGATGACGGTATTTCCCTCCTCGGTTTCCCTTTTTCTGCCATTGGATGTCTGCTTGAAAGTGCTTCACCAAATATCAGTGCCATAAACCCACCGACGACCTATTTGACATCCATTTACTGTTACCTAGCATCCATCTTACTACCTCTGGACAGCTACTCTCCCTCTCACCGTTAACATTCCCAAGTGCTTGTCGACATCGAACCATCCGTCCTCCCCTAGAAAGTTTGTCGGACCGGGAACTGCTGACAAAGACCGACCGAACGGGAACGGGATCCAAGAACAAACCGAGATCACAAGACGCCCAGACAAGACTTTCTTACACCTTGGAACGAGGCCACTGTGTGCGGCGTGCCAAACAAATACTCAGCAAATAGCAGCGCCACGAAAACCGTCGCAAGCTTCGCTCAGCCAAGACTTCGTCCACCAGCCAAACCGCCTGCACCGCCCCCTGCCCACCCCAGCGTCATCACCAAGCAACCATATCCGGATCTCGACTTGGAGAGGGCATCCAGGTGCAACATAACCGCCGGACGATTGCCTTAAACCTCCTCGAACAGCCCGCAAACACGCTTTGCGGATTTCCATACAACCACCGAATACTCATCAGATATCATCATACGACATCGTAGCAGACCATGAGCTTCAGGGGCTTTCAGAAAAGCGTGATTCGCGTAAGTTCTGCCCCGCATACTTAAATCTCACCTCCCTTAGTCTCTGGTTGGGGCATCGTCCTCATCGCTTCCGAACTTGCCGTCGAGTCCTCCTTTTTCGTAAGATTCAGGAGTTGCCAAACAGACACTAACGCGACAAATTACCAGGCACCACAACAATTCAAGCAAAAGTTCAACCTCGGCGAGCATACCAAAGACGCTGTCTACATCGACTCCGAGCGCAGATTCCAAGAGCTCGAAACTGAGACCAAGCGCCTTCACGATGAGAGCAAAAAGTACTTCGAGGCCATCAATGGCATGCTGCAACACCAGATCGAGTTCTCCAAGGCCATGACCGAAATCTACAAGCCCATCAGCGGTCGCATGTCCGATCCCGACTCCCTTGTCCCCCATGGAAACATTGAGGGTATTGCCGCCTGCGAGGAGTATGAGGCCGTTGTCAAGGACCTGCAGGAAACACTGGCGCCAGAGTTGGAGATGATCGAGAGTAGGATTATTCGGCCAGCGAACGAGCTCCTCGATGTGGTCAAGGTCATTCGCAAAACGGCCGTGAAACGCGAGCACAAGAAGCTGGACTACGACAGACACCGCGCCACCCTCAAGAAGCTCCAGGACAAGAAGGATCGGTCGGCAAAGGACGAGAAGGCTATGTGGAAGGCTGAGAACGACGTTGAGCAGGCCACTCAAGAGTACAACTACTTCAACGATCTGCTTAAGGACGAGCTACCCAAGCTGTTTGCCCTCGAACGCCAGTTCATTCAGCCGCTTTTCCAGTCCTTCTACTACATGCAGCTCAACATCTTCTATACCCTACACGAGAAGATGCAGCATTGCGACATTGGCTACTTCGATCTGACTTTGGACATTGAGGAGGCCTTCCACGCCAAGCGTGGCGACGTCCAAGAGCGTGCGGAGGCGCTCTCCATCGTCAAGTTCAAGACCACGGGTATGAAGCGACCGCCAAAGTACCAACGTCCTGGTGCCCTCGAAGGAAACAAGCCAGCAGGCCTTCTTACAGCTGGTTCCTCGACGACCACTTCCACCGGTACCCCTGAAGCGGCTCCTTCAGTGACAGCCCCCCGACCCTGGGAACAGCAACAAGCTCCTGCTGTTACAGCACCGCGACCTTGGGAGACTCAGGCGGAACCCGTAGAAGCGCATGCTCCACCACCGTATTCGGTGAAGCCGAGCACGCTACATGCGACACCAGCCTCCTACGCCGCTCCAGTTGCCAGCCCGAAACCCTCGTCGTTGTCCATGGCGGCGGCCGCAAAGGCCAAGCCCCCACCGCCGAAGCCCAAGCCCAAGGCCCTCATGGCGGCACCCCAGGTAGAGACCGTCACGGCACTTTACGACTACTCGGCGCAAGCAGAGGGCGATCTAAGCTTCCGTGCCGGTGATGTGATTGAGATAGTAACAAGGACTGCGAACGAGAATGAGTGGTGGATTGGAAAGTTGCATGGAAAGCAGGGTCAATTCCCAGGTACGTACTGTACTTTTTCTTAGATGCCTTTTTCATATGCGAGTTGAACATGTTCTAACATGACCTTTTTCTAGGTAACTATGTCCAATTGAATAGCTAGAGAACGCAAGGCAACTTGTGAATGTAGTTATCAAAGAGTTGCTTTCAGCACACTTCACTTTTCAGCATGACTTCAACCTATACCCTTTTTTTGTGTTCCTGTACATGTCAGGAGTTTTCGCTTCTACAATCTGGAGTTTTCACAAGTTGTCTGCCTTGTAACCATGTCATGAGTTCTGGATCACGATTTGTGGATGTTCATACACCGACGCAGAGGGCCTGTGATTCCTTTTCGAGGAATTAGTCGGGAAAGAAGAATGTTCATGAAGGGGGGACACTGCAAGGAGCATGGAGTTTGCGTCTGAAGGAAGTGGCGGGTGTATCGTTTTGGGGCGCTCGGGGACAGCTTAAGGGAAACGACGGGATGAGAGGTGCATCGGGTCGAAAGAAAGAAGCTTGGATTGGATTCGTCTTGCCATGGTCGCTGTCGTGGTTTGTTTAGATAGGTACTTGCCCGCGCATCAAGCTTCATGTGAAGCTAATTTCTAATTCTGTTAACGCAACGACCATACAGTTCTTCATCTTCAATGTCATCGACGACCGCTTGTCTTGTCAAGAACACCCGGCTCAGCCTCACTTCCCTGCTCGACTTAAAGGGTCTGGTTCTGGGAGGAAAGAAGAGCGTGTATCAGCTCTGCCACTCATTCTAAGCAACATCGAAAGCGGTCATATGTGTACTGGAAGGCCCATTCCGGAGATGTTTTAGACATCGGCCTCCAGGTGAGAGGTGAATATCCTCCGACTTACACGGGCAGCTTCGAGTTGAGAAAGCTGCACCTGCCAATGTTCGCACCAAGGCGGATAGAAGCCTTCAAAAAATGCGGTAAGCAATCCATTCGTATGCTCCTTCCTCCAGTTTCCCATGATTCCATCCCTGACCGTGAAACAAGACAGGAAGTCACAACCTCTGTTCAGTACGCCAGGCAAACCCAGATCTCTGGGCTTTTAATCCCCCTCCTTTCACTTGCACACAAACTCTTCTCCCTCTTCTCACAACCACCACCACTACCACCAAGCGTAGCGCAACTCGCAGACTCCAGGCAATCTTTTTGGCCGCCATTTTTTGGGTATCGTCTCTCTATTTGTCTTGCGGTTCGCAGTATTATGTCATCTCTTCTCTCTTCGTGTTGATACACTTCAAGCGTTTTTTGGAAGCAAGGAAAATCTTGCACGGAAAGGAAGAAAACACTACCCCCGAATACCAACCTCCCTTCCACGATAGCACTCTCGACAACCTACCTGAACCACTCTCGTCACCTCAGCTCACACTGGGTTTGTCTGGTCTCCTTCCTCTGTCGCCAACTCTTCTCCCACTCGTCTTAGCGGAACGGACTGGCCCATTCCTGTTGGAAATAGCCGAGTCCCTTGACGGAACCAAGGAATACACAGACTTGTCTTGAAGGACAAACACTGGGTTGTCTTACCCAGTCCACAATATCAACGTGATATCGCCGCTTTGCTGGTCTTGCAGTGAGTTCTTTCTCCCTTGCACAAATGTCAATATGATGACTCCGAGCTTGGTCGCCGTTTTATGGACACATCACGAGCATGCAGTTGACTAACACGTCTCAGACCAGGAAGGACTCTACGTCCTTGAAGGACCGAGAACACCCACATCAAGCAACACCCGCCGACTGTCAGACAACATGGCTGGCATCACCAGTCACATCGCCAGTAGCAGGAACTTTAGCCGCTCTAGAGTTCCTGCGTTGAAGGTCAAGACTGCATTGGGGGACCCAGTTGCTTCTGAGGGAAAAGGAAAAGCACTTGCATCCGATGACTGGCGCAAGCATGCGTCTGCCCCTGGAATTTCGGACAAGGGCAACCTCCGAAAAAAGATTGCTCAGCGGTCGAGCGCCACGGAGCACTCCATGGTTATGCCTCACGAACCTGGGTTCTATCGCCCAAATGACGGCCAAACTGCTTAGGAAGTGGTTTCCTCGGCACCAGGAGACCGCTCAGTCTCAAATCAATCCACGGTGCACTCTGCAGCCTCATCTGAGCATTTACTTGACTTGGCTCAGGAACCGATGATGGTCCGCATCGAAGACATGAAGCCAATGCTCATGAATGTCAACGGGGAGGACGTCCCCTTGCCTAACCGATTCACCTTTGATATCCGCCCTAAATGCTTCAAGAGCGACTATTCCGATGACTCCTCTAGCTCCTCTGTATTTGGAGAGCTCAGACGTGTCATAGATCCCCAAATTCTCAGCGGCAAAGTCGCCTCCAGGTGGTTGGACACCAACCACGACCTCTCGGACGATATCCAGGCCATACTCAACACCCCTCGGGCAGTCCCTACCGCAGATGAACCTCCTCTTGAACACGAGACTCGTCACCAGGATGCGTCAGCGGCGGCCAATCCGCCTGAAGATTCCAAAGACAGTATGGGTGCGCCTGAAATCTCGGAAGCACAACCGCAAGATGACGAGGAACAACGCTTCCGCAACATGATCAACCGTCTCCAAAAGCGCTTGCCAACACCGTCTTTGGTGAAGCCTAGAGTACCATCCATCAAACTACAACCTGCGGATCCGGCCATCTTGTCTGCCAAACTAAAGGATGGTGCAGTGTTCGAAAATGCCCACCTGAGCCGAGTTACTGTGATTCACCCTGAGAGGAAGGGCGGATCCAGTGACTCTGGGTACGCCAGCGCCAGCAACCCATCGTCTACTATCCATTACTCAACGCCAGAGAACTCTATGGATTCACAAGACGAACCCGTTGCGGACACCAAGAGAGGTTTAGAGCCCCAAAGCGCCACCAAGAAACTGAATCCTGCAGCGGCCGAGTTCAAGATTTCTACCGACAGTGTCCATCTGCCGGTATTTACTCCCAAGAAGCTTTCTCGTGGCCCACTTACCTCACTTCTTTTCAACCCAAGTCCTGATGCGCCCGTGGCCGGATCTATTCCTCCAGTGGATAGGCTACAAACTGCTGAGACAAACCAGGAGGCAAGCACTGGAGTTGATATGGTGCAGACACAACAGTCAAGTCCGATAAAGTCCGGTGCGAAGACCAAGCACCGAAAAGCATTTCAAGTTCCGCCCACCCAGCATCCTTCCAACCCTGTTTTAGCCAGTGTCAATCCAATGACTGGCACTCATTCCAGCTTGAGCTTGCAGCCACAGAAACCCAGTACGGGTTTACCGTTCTTCCCTGCTCCATGGATGGGAGGACCAGGTTTGGGCAACTTTGGGACGTTCCCACCCTCTGCCGGGCCATCGATGGCTGTTCCGCCGTTCAACATGCAACCCTTAAACATGGCAGCAAGTTTGGGCACTGGAACTTTGCTGCCTTCAATGCGGCCGCCCATTCCACCGTTTGCGCCGGCTCCTATCGGCGGCTTGGGATCAGTGTATCCTCAGGCCGCAGTGTCAGCAATGCCGACAGTACAGCCGTCAATTCCACTTACAGGCGCAGGTCAACCAGCTCAGCCAGGGCCCAAGGCTGATCGCCCTTATTTCCCCGTTACGACGAAGCCTCGGGTCCCGGATCCGATCAAGCAGCAACAATATGAGGAGTATTTGGAATGGCGCAAAGCCAATGAGCCCGGGTACCATATCAAGTGCAAGATCCGACAGGCGAACCGCATAGTGCGTCAGCATCAACACCAAGTCGAGCCTACCAAGCTCGAGGAACCGGGCCTCACGCTTGAATGGAAAGTAAGGGCCGAAGAGGCCAAAACCGTAGTGCGGGAGATGGAAGCTCGGCGTGCAGAAGAGAAGAGGTTGAAGCAGAAACTTGTGGCTGAAGAGTTCAAAGCCAAAGTTATTGAGAGGGTCATGGCGGACGTCGTGAAGAAGGACGACAAGGAGGTCTCTGCAAAGAACGATAACAAGGTCCCTGAAAAGAAGATGGAAGGCAAGCATGCTCTTGAGAAGATCATCGAAAAGGTGACTGAAGACAAGGTAACAACTGGGGAGATTGCCGAGCAGACACCATGCGACATGGGAATCGCCGAGAAGAAGATGGAGGTGATCAAGGAAGGAGTGACGGCGTGATGTCCCAGAGGTGATTACAGTGATCGTGAGAGGACGTGGGGACAGAATAAGAATTGCTGGGATTCTTATTTCTTTGCATATGTATGCCACGGAGGAGTATGAGAGATGTTTTCTCTCATGTTGGCATTCCTTACTGGCGCCGGATTTGAGGACTTGTCATTACAGTTTATGGTCGTTGAGACGATACGGAGTATCGATTTATGGGCCAATTTTGCTATTATTATGGCCGGTAGTTGTTTTTATTGAGCAGAAGGTGTCTGGAGTTATTCCGAGACACATGCGGGTATGGTTATGATTGAGAGACCTAGGTTTAGGTCGTTTTGCACAAGCTTTGCACTTTTTCATGTTATTGGGTTTGTTCTGCGAATGACTTTGTCAGTTATTGTCATTGATATTGCCGGTACCTTTCTTTCTAGATAACCGTTGTGATAGAGATATGGATCAAGAAGATTGGTACGCGTCCATGTTTTACGGAACTGATCAGATGTCGTAACATCAAAGGCGTTCATGTGATGATGGGAAAGGGTGCACTGTCATCCACTTCCTTGATACGGTACAACGAGAAGGGTTACTCGCCTGGGTAAGTTCTGACTCTGATGAGCATCGCAGACAGAATCTCAAGCTATCGAGACACATGACGCCAAAGCTGGCTTCCACACCAGGAAACGGAAGAATGGCCATATAATCAAGTAATGTTTTACAAACGCTACAACATCAAACTGATCCCAACAGCTTCGAGCTGTCTGTTCTCAACTCACTGTGCTGCTGCCCTAATATCCTCTCCTCTTCACTTCACGCCTCCTCGTCACCACCGTACTCATCCCCATACTCGTCGACCACCCACACGCAAAACTTCTCCCACTCAGTCGCCCACTGCCTCAGCCTCTCCGCCTTGACACCACCTCCCATACTCGCCTCCCTTACATCCCTCGCCCACTCATCAGCCGTCTGATCCTCAAACGCCGCCCACCTGACTGAATTCTCCGCCAACGATCCCAAGCCCGCCAAACCCAAGTTCTCCCACCCCTGCAGCGCCTGCCAGAAATCGTGCGTCATGCCCGCCATGTCCTGCCCCAAAATCGCCGGATCGTCATTACACAAGGCACACGGCACACCTCTCGCCAGCAGCGCCGGCAAAGGATGCTGCATGATACTCCCCCGTCAACCGCAACACTTCGTTGGAGATGGGACAACTCTCAATCAGCACCCGCTTATCTTTCACAGCCTTGATCAGCTGCGGGTGTTTATACAGCGAAAACCCGTGACCTATGCGTCTTGCGCCCAGAAGCAGAGCGTCGAATAGGTTATGGTCCACTGCGTCGCCATCGCCCAGGGTTTCGCCCGCGTGTAAGAAAAGGGGGATTTCCACGCCTTCGGCGGCGCATTGTTTCTTGAACCAGAAGAGCTCCGGGAGCAGGTCCGTCAGGTGCCGGCCCGCGTCTTCGGGCCCCACCAAGTCGTAGCCGGCGATTAGATGGGGAAAAGAGAGCTTGGTGGCGATGCAATCGTTCATGGACTGGATGATGGTGCGTGGGCCGAAGGCGCGGACTGTGGTCCAGATCATGCGGAGACCCCAGAAGGGGGCACCCAAGGGGGTGCGCTTGAAGGCGGCCACTTCTTCTTCGATTACGGTGAACATGGCTGTGTAATCGGGTTCTGGGACGGTGGAGTTGAGGCGGCAGTAACCTAGTGGCCAGGCGAATCTGTGAATGTTAGTCCGGGGGTTCTACAGGAACGAACTTGGTGTGATGTTGACGGTGATGTTGATGAGGCCTCGGATGAGGTGACCCGCTAGCCATCTCTTCATATGTCAGACATCAAGAAGAAGGGGGTAAACTCACCGAACCTCAACCCAATAAACCCCATCCTCCACCAACTGCTCCAACAACTTCCTCAAAAACCTCCTCCAGATCGGTTCATAATGCAGCATCGACCCAATAACCTCAAAACACCCCATAAACTTTCTCCAAATTTCCGCCGACCCATGTCTCTGCTCGATCGCGTCCGTCTGGCTCAGGATACACCTACTCTTCAACCACTTCAAGAACCCTTGCCTTCCACCCTGGGGAAACGCATCCGCCGCTTCCACCAAGTTAACAAAAGTCCCCGGCTCATACACTTCCCCTCCCTCATCCCCTTTCCCGCCCCAAATCAACTTCGCATCCACCTTCCCCTTCTTCCCTCCTTCCGTCAAATCACCAACATACTTAACCACCACTCCCCCCTCCCTCCTCCTCTCCTCACTCCCCAGCCCCCCCTTTTCCGGTGTGGCAATCCCCATCCCCTCCGTCTCCAACACCACTGCCAGCAAAAAATCAAAATCAACCATGGCATCACAGTGACTATGCAGCAGCGCGCCCTTTGGCATTTTGCGCACAATCTTCCACAATTTCGTGGATTCCATTGTCTCCTTGGCGAGCGTAAACATCATGCCCGGGTGGATGATGATGCCGTTGTTTTCCTCCTTGCGCGCGAGCTGCTCTTCCAGATCGGGCGTCCAGATCTCGGACTTTTCCTGGGAACGGATCCGCGAGACAATGGTGCATGCTTTGCGGGCTAAGGGAGAGAGGGATTGGCGGAAGATGGCGTCCGATCGCTGTTTTTGCTCTTCGGCGACCAAGGCGGTGCGGGCGGCGTGGTATTTTTGCAGGATGGGGTCGTTTTGGGAAGGGAGCTCGTGGGCGAGGATGTCGGCCCATTCGGAGTCGGTGATTTGGTTTGTCATGTTGATTGGATGGGATGGACTGGACCCCTTGAGGGTTTGTTTACTTCTCTGGGCCTCTTAAGTTGGGATGATGGGATGAGGTCGATGGTGGTTGATGTGTCGTTGGGGAATGTGGGTTGGGTAAGGTCGCTGACCCAACTTTGCTTTGTGTGGGAAGGAGGAAAAACGAAGAAAGTGAAACAAGTTTTTGAGTCGTGATGAAACAAATGTTTTATTCTAACTTTTGACTACAGCAACCAGGCAACCAAGGCAACAAACTTCTGTCAACTGGTGAAGATCTTTGCTATCAAGAAGGATAATCGTATTCATCTGATGTAAGCCACCACCATTGGAGGAATGCGAGGAGATGGGGCGATGGCCTGGCTGCCTACCGGACTGTACTAACTGTCTAACAACTGCCTAACAACTGCCTAGAGAAAGCCACTAAACTCGGCAGGCCAGCCCCGCTCCCGGCCGCTGATTGCCGCCTTTCGGTGCATCGGCACAGGGCATAGTCTTTGTTAGAGGTCCACCGGAGATCGGAGTCGAGCGGTCGTCTTGAACGGGTCACGGAGGCCAATCCCCGATTTGGCAGGTGCTTTTGCCGGTCCGAGAAAACACTCCGGGGACACCTTGACAAGAACATATCACCACAAGCCGGAAGAAGCCGTTTCTCATGATTTTTTGTTTATTTTTGAAGTGTGGAGGGATAGGAAAACGCCATGTTTTGTATGCATCGTGCACAACAAGTCCGGGGTAGATAATCCGGTTTTACGTAGGTGTAGAGAGGTTTGCAGTTGGTAATGGTCATCTCGGACTCAACATCACAGCCATCAGCTTCACGTTGTACAAGACAAAACGTGTCGGTCTAATCGAAACACATGAACAGCTCTGTAGTTTATCTAGGTTCTATACAATCATTTAGCCCAATGTGACTGGTTCACAAGCTCGTCATCAACTCTCCTCCCCTCCCTTCAATATCTCAACCTCTCCGTTCCGTAACAGCCAACAACTCCGGCATCGTAGCCGACCATCCCGGCGCCTTCTGCTGCTCCTGCAACGTCTTCGTATTCTCCCTCACATATCTCACCCTTTCCTCCGTCAACTTCATCTCCTTCGGCAACTCAAGCCCATCATCCCTAACGGGTTTACCCAATATCTCCTCCGCCACCATCCTCGCCGCCAACGCCGCCTGCGGCATCCCGTGTCCCGTATAACCCGCACACACATACAGATTCTCTCCGCCGCCAAGCATTTCCGGGACCTGACCAACCCACGGACTCGCGTCTCTGCTGAAGCCCATGATGCCCGTCCACTGATGCGTAGCTTTGAGTTCCGTCGTCTCGTTGCCATCCGTAGGCGTATTGTTGGGAGTAGGAACAGCGCCACTTTTGTCAGGGGTCAAATCCAACGGATACGGCGCCAGGTTTTGCCTCAGATAGGTCGCGACGCCTCGCTCAACGTCGTCGTCCTGCCATACTCCCACGGCCTTATTCTCCGCGTGACTTCGAGCTCCGCCGTAGATTAGCTCGCCTCCGGGAAGCGGGCGCTGGATAAGATACTCATCCCTAGGAAATTTCTCTTCGCTGACGAACGCGTAGCTGTAATCCAGCTCTGCTACTTTTTTGGTGATAACGTCCTTGGGCGGCCGCAAGGATGCAACTTGGCTTCGGACGGGGATGATCAAGTCCTTCATTCCTGGAAGCAGGTTACTCGTGTACCCGTTTGTTGCGATCAACACTCTGTTCGCCCTGATTTCACCTCGGCTGGTGGTTATCATCCATTTTCCGCCGCGGAGTCTGTGCAGCCCCAAGACGGGAGTGTTGCTTTGTAGGTTAAATCCCCCTTTAGCCCTTCCCTTTCCACCCATGTGCAGACCAGCCAACCTATCGTTCTCCTGAACAGGATACTTCTCCAACAACTTTCGCAAAACCCACGCCACCAGTTTATAAGGCCACAAACTAGCCGCGTGCCTCTGCACCACCGCGCCCTTCACGCCCGGAACCCTCAGATGTCTCAACGTCTCCCCATCTTCCGTTGTCTTCCTCTCGTCATGATCAACCAACTCCACCTGCCCCCTCAGCCCCTCCGGCAATTTCTCTACCAAACCCTTCGCCCCCTCCCACACTTCATCAGTCAAATACCCATGAACAGTCTTTAACGTCCTCCAATCTACTTGCTCCCCAATCTCATGTTTTTCAACAAAGGATTTGATGAAGTGGTAAGTAGCCAGCTCGAACTCGGCGGTTGAGGAGGAAGAGGAGTATATGAGAGGTTGACAGTGTCCGCCGTTGCGGCCGGTGGCGCCGGAACAGGGTTGGCGGGCTTCGAGCATTAGGACGCCGGTGTAGCTGTTTTCGTTTTCTTCTTCTTCTTCTTCTTCTTCTGTGTGAGGAGAAAAGGGATCAAGTGCTGGCTCTTCGTTCCAGTCGGGTGGTGGTGGCCAGTTGGTGGATGGCCAGGGCTTGTTGTATTTCTGCTTCCAGTCACCGGAAGGTTGTCCTGCTGTTGATGATGATGATGATGATGATGATGATGATGATGCAGCGGAGGCAGAACCTAATCCAGATCCAGATCCAGTCCCAGTCCCAGCACCAGTCCCAGCTCCAGTCCCGTTGCTAGCTCCCGTAGAACCCTCCCCATTTTCCCTCCCCTTCTCAACCTCAACCCTCTCAACCCTCCCCCCTTCATCTCCTCCAACAAAAACCACCCCGCAAACGCCCCCGTAATCCCACTCCCAACAATAACCGTATCCGCCGTCCCCGGCAATTCCCTCGTACTCCTGAAATCCTCCAGCCGTTGCGATTCCTCACTTTTCTGTAACCAGTAAGACGCCGATGGGTTAGCTGAAGGTAGGCCGGCCATGGTAGATTCCCCGAAGGGGTCCGAGGGGTCTGAAGAAGGATAAGAAGGGTTGATGCGGGGATGGTTGGCGATGCGGTTGTGCCATCGCTGGACGGCGGTGTTTGTTTGGTGTTGGGCCGCGGCGGCGGCGCGGCGGAGTTCGGTGTCGTCGGTGTCGTCGTGGCAGTAGTGGGAGTAGTGGGAGGTGGAAGATGGGGTGAAGCCCGGGGGGTCGCCGTCGCGGATGACCATTTGGGGTTATTGGTTGTTGTGGACGGCGAGGGATGTGGGATGTGGTTTGGTTGAAGTGGGGTGGAAGAGGTAAAGTAGTGATGAGTGATGTTGACTATCGGGCTCAAGTTGTTAAACGAACGGACCAGGTTGAGCTGTTGACCTATGAGTCAACGAAAACCCCCAACCGGGTGCGGTTACCGTGTCTTGTACAGAATTTGTTTGTTTTGAGAAAATGTGAGGAGAAAAGGAGAAGGATTCCCGTTACGAAAAACAATACCCGAAAGCAACTAGTTCTAGTTATGCACGAATTCGGCCTATCGTTTTTGAGGCCGGTGCATCAACCGAACGAACGCAAAACATTACGCAGCGAATTCACGTCACCGTCAGCATTTGCGGACCCTCAGCGGCCGCTTTTCGTCGTCACCCAACTCTGGAATCTCAAGGTTCACGATCTTGATGAATTCACTGCCCGTTTCAGCTACAAGAACATAACATGATTTGACAAGTCAGGTTGGCAGGCTATACATACTGTAGAGAACCTGCTCGTAAGATATCAATATCCATCGCTTCGTATTTCTTGCGCTCGGTCAGACTGTCAGCCTCTCCTCCTTCCTCTCCCAGTCTAGCTTTTCTGACACCGTTTTGTCTGTTCGTGATATGAAGAACTTCGAATCCCACACGTCAGTCTAGATACAACCTCGCGGCTCTCATCCATCATCCAAACCAGACATGTTCAGTCCCTTCAACAAATTCTCTATGCAAAGTAAGGATAAGTGTGCCACCATCATCGAAAAAAACCAGAACTTTTGTGTTGTACCAATTCTTTCATCAAGTATCGTCATATTAACCCGTTCCCTACCGCGTTCGTAAGGAATTCACCTGAAATTTTGTAGCACAGACTCTCTCTTCCATTCTCTGAAGAGGAGAGAGATTTTGCCGTTCTCAGAGGGGGGCCGTGCTACTTCGTAAAAGACCACCCGTGCCCAACCAGCCATACACAATGCCGTCTTAACTCCGTCCTTGAAGCGTGTGAAAACATTGAAAAGCAAACTGCAAGGGGCCTCGAAACAAGAAAACAAAAACCGCTTAACCCTGCATCTTTCTTCTCTTGCCGACCTGGGCAGAGAAACCGGTCTTGATGGCCTGGACGGACCGTCTGGAACCGCAAGAGTTGCAGGTAATGAAACTGTGGTGATATGTTAGTATTTCGGGTCTGCGTCGTCGTAAACAACAGCAAGAGGCCAACTTACTAAAGACGGTTCTCGCCCTTGGAGAGCTCGGTGTTGGGGGAACGGCACGTCTTGCAGGTGACGTACTCTGTTCAACAAGTTAGCATTTGTAATCACATTAGAACGTTTGGCGCTGGTGGCGATATTGTCCGTTTGGCCGCAAAACACCAAAACGACTGAAACTTACCGATAATGTAGGTACGCAGAACGTTCTCGATCTGCTTCTGCTGGAAACGACCCTTGATAACCAGACGCCTGCTGCCGTCGACGGAACCGCTGGTACCCAATTCGGCGAAAAGGTAGGAAGTAACGTGCTCGTCGGCTCTCTTCATGCGCTTGCAAATCTCGGGAAGGTTGGCGAAGATGGTCTTCTTGTTGCCTTCACGGAGACACTGGGGAGGCGGGATCTTATATGACCGCGTACCGGTAGAGGCGTGGTCGGGGTTCTTCTGCGAGAGGAGGGCGAAGAAACGGGACAGAAGAGGGTTGTAGGTGATGGTCTTGGTCTCGTCGTGGGCCCAAATGCCGGTGCCCTGGTCCATATCGCCGTCCTGCTCGTCCTCCTCAGGGGCGGCCTCCTCGCCCTCCTTGCCCTCGAGGTTGAGAGCCTCAAGCTTCTTGGCGAACTCGTCATCCTCCTTGGCGACCTTCTTCTTCTTCTTCTTCTTCATGGTGAGGTCGATAGCACCGTCACCCTCGGCAGGGGCGGCCTCGTCGGCGGCGTCGGCAGCATCCTCGTCCTTCTTGACCTTCTTCTTCTTCTTCTTCATGAGCGAGAGGTCGAGGCCGTCATCGGCGGCAGGGGCGGCGGCAGCGTCCTGGGCGTCGGTGGTGGTGGTGGCTTGGGCAGCATCAGTAAAGGCCCCGAGAGCGGCGGAGAGGGGCGGCGTACGAGCAGAGTGGGACTGGGCAGTCTCCTTGATTTCGTCGGTGGGAGAGGCGACCATGGTGACAGAACCGTCGGCGTCGACAACTAGCTTCTCGTCGGTAAAGGCAACGGACTTGCGCGAAGGGCGTCTTTGGACAGAGGAATCCTAAAAGGTTAGTATACCGGAGTGGATAAGGCGCTTGTTCGTGGGAGTCGCGATAGCGGTCAAGGATTTTGCCGTCAAGTGTGGATAGGAAAGCTCGGATTTTTTTGGGATGATTGGCGGCGTTTTCGCGGTTGCAGAGTGCCAGAACTTTATGGTGGATTTGGGCTGGGGGGAGGGAGGGTTGGAGGGGCAAGTCCACGTCGGGGGAGTTCAGGGCCGGCCGGGGGACTGGGGATAATGTACAGTGAGGGGTGTGCAGTGTGGTGAATGTGACTTTTTTCTGACTGGGCGAGAAGCGTGGCTTTCCCCAGGGCTAGAGGTATCTGTTTCTAGCGTGTGTGGTAGGGTCGGGGAGGACGAGAGGGCGTGTTGTGTGTGTGTGTGGGCGTAGAGATAGTGTACAGAAGCAAGGAGATCCATCCCAGATACTTACTTCGGAATCCATGCTGGGCCACTTGTGTGTGTGAAGTGTGATGTGTATGTGTGTTTTGTGTTTGAGAGATTGTCTGTCTTTTTTCTTTGTATCGATGTCTCTTCCGGTGGACTCTTTGTTGTAGTGTAGGCAAGAGTGGATTTTTGAGGATGAGATTATACTTTCGGGGTGGTTTGGATGTTGCGCCGAGCAAGTGCGAATTGGAAATGCGGGCAGATCTTTCTTTTCGGACCTGGAATTGTTCTTTGCGGGGAGTTGGATGCTTGGGTCCTGGTTGGGTATTTTGGGGCTCAAGGCTGGCTGTTGTCGGCTGCTGTCTGTCCTCGCTGTCGTTTGGGCTGGAGAACTGGACTTGCACAGGCACGGCTCTGGATGGGGCACCGCGCCTGTGTTCACAAGTTCATGACGTTGATTGAAGCGAAACTGTGAGTCAGTCTCTCAATCACCTGACAAGTGGGGTAGAATGTGGCTGGGGCAGCTGTCCGCCACTTGCAGAGGTCCCCCAAATCGCCTCCGCTTCTCCATTCTCCATGCCTCTGCACCCCTGCCCCTAACCCGCTCAAGCCACGGACGCACAGTCCGACACCGTTGGGTTGGCACTGGGCCTTGCAGTGCTTGGCGGCAGCGAGGTCCAGCACAGCTGCACTGCAGTATCCGTCACCGACGAACATGCAGCTCCATCAACCTGGCAGGCGGGCCGAGTCCGTATCCATCTCCGTGTGTCGCCGTGTTCGTGAACCAACAATCTCCTATCAACAAGCAAACTGTCCAACGCGATCTTTACAACATCCAGAACGACAGGTATCACCAATTCTTACAGTGAACCATCGCAACTTGCCCGAAGCTACGATAGCAATCATCCCTCGCGACAACCGACCGTGCGCCGGCGCCGACCACTTTACTCGCTCGCCCCATCCGAATAGCATTGACGATAGCTACCTACCTGCCTACTCCCGAGTCCCGACCGTAAACCCGATACGTAAACACAATCCGCGATTGCGCGACATCCGAAAGAAACAACCATGTCTACCCCCTCTGACTCCTACGTCCTACACGACCACTCCCCGTCAACCGACAACGACGACGATGTCGCCTCCCTTCCGTCCATCTCCAGCAGTATCCTAGACTCGGACGATGACTCGGAATACGACGACGAATCAGACGCGCAAAAGGAATGGGAACAGAGTCTCGAGCAGCTGCAGCTTCTCATGACCATGGTGCTAATACCGTTCGCGGGGAAGTTTTTGGGGCGCAAGTTTGCTTATTGGAGTAAGACAGACCAGACTTTTCGAGAAGACAGCTTGCGCTGTGTGGGAGGGGTACGACGAGGATGCAAAAAGTCAGTTGCTAACATGTAGGCCTTGCTGGTAGGTTGGGGACGGTACATGGAGTGGATGCACGGTGTCAAGGTTGAGTGGTATAACAAGACGCTATTCAACATTGCCGGTTGGGTAGGAGCCGCGTCGACGGTCTGAGGGGGAGAGGCAGGCAGACAGACAGACAGACAGACAGACGCCTGTGGTAATGAGGGGAGTTGAACTCAAGGGTGACACGACGGCAGCAGCACGAATTCTCGATACAATACTTCGTCGGTATATCTTGGGATACTAGGGATGGAGGAACATAGTGCTCTTTTGGCGTTAACGGTATGGGAACACAACTAGCATAAAGCGGTATGTTTGGTTCTTGCAAACACTTGCTGTGTTGAAGGTGAAGAATCATCACATCGTTTGTGTGGAAGGCATTTGGACTGTCATTATACTCGCTCGTGGAAGCAAGCGTTAAAGCTTTGGAAGTACTGATTTTCAGACAATGCCAATTACTGTTGCTGACTTTAGGTTCGACTAATACTATAGTTTTGATCTTTCCTAGCCCAATATATCTCCATGTCATTACACTATTATAGGTATAATCATCGAGTTTGCGACATCGCGCGGCCATGAAGAGGATTCCATATTACGCCTAAAACCGATAGCACCATATCCATCATTACAATCATTACCAGTTTCATAACCATCCAAGCACCTAAAACCATCCAGGATATCCAACTTTCAACGACAATCTTCTCGACTACTCTCTCAAGTATCCAACCTGCCCACCACCCCACCCCCCTTCCTCCCTCAGCTTAGACGCCCACCTGAGACATCATCGGCCCGCTCCTCACGCTCCCGCCCGTCCTGCGCCAGCTCATAACAGCCATCGTCAACGCCGCCGCGAACGCCGCAAAAAGGAACCACATAAACGCCGTCCCCGCCTGAATCTCCCTGCACCGCTTCGCGTCATCCGCGCTCCCGTACGCGATCCAGTTACGTCCATGACCATCGGTATCTCCGCAGTTGACAGCGCCTAGCTTGGCAGCAAGCACGATACCCGCTATAACAGTAAATAAAGTGGCGGCGGCGTCGAGAGCGAGCATCACCAGCGGGATGGCGATGCGTTGGAATAAGGCTGCCGCTAGACCGAATAAAGCGGCGAGCCAGGAGAGCACGATGACGAACATGGAGAAGTTGATGGCGGAGCGCGCGGTGGAGGAGGCGGCGACGTCGAGGGCGATGACGTTGCCGATTAGGGCGGTAAGGATTATGAGGAAGAGGAGTTGGAGACAGCGGAGGATGAGGTGTATTGGTTCCATTTTGGCGGTTTTTTTTTTTT